GGGGGGGGGGGGGGGTTTCTTTTGGGGGGCTTCCCCAGGTGGGCAAGTAAGGCTTAAAGGAAAGCACGGATCATTTGCCATCACAGCTCTCGGCACCTCCCAGCTGAACCCACACACAACACCAGCACTGGGCACCACTTCCACATCACAACCACAGAGAGGAACAGCCGACTCACAGCCCTGCAGGGCCCCCCACGCTCCCCTGCCCCCCAGATTCCATCCAGCTCATTTCCACGGCAATTCTGGGAATCCTCAAACAGCCGTGTCTTCATCCCCACCGCGGATCAGGAGGGCACAACTCCACAGACTGCTCCAAAGTTTTCCTCTAAGTGACACTCGGTATCCTCTCCATTTTCACAATCAGCTACTTAAAAAAAAAAATGAGATCAAATCCTTTGGAAAACCAACTCTAAGGTCACGGGGATAGTTCCTTAATGAGAAGGGCGTATTAATAATGTCTTCATTACAAAAAAAAATCCCATTGAAGTATTATTTGAATGAAATCAAAGTGGCAGCATCCAGGAGCAGAGCATTGCTAAAAGAAACGAGCACTGTCCATGACATCTCTCCTTTGCAGGGTTATTTTCCCAATCATTCTCTCAGCACATTCAAACATTTTCCCTTTTATTATTATTTTTTTTTTTGGCATTGTCTTCAACAGAAATTCCTGATGCCACCTCTCTCAGAGCCTTTTCTTCCTGCTGCTCAGTCCTTTAGTACAGTCTCACACAACAGGAGAAGTCTCCATGAAAGCACTGGCAAAGCCCTCATTAAACACCCTGTGGCTGTGACTTCATTGAGCTCCAACCCCTCCTGGATCATCTTCCTCCTCCTCCTCCAGGAAATCCCAGCTCCTTCACATCACCGTGCAGCTCTTTGCTTTGTCCTTTCTCAAGTCCGCGGCCACTGTGGACAGTTCTGGCCTGCCAGGCATGTGTGAAATTCGCTTTGTGGCCCTCTGAGATTTGTTTCGTTTCACATTTTTGTTTGTTTTGTTCACACACGCCAGGGTGGCGACGTGAAAAATGTCTCTGACACTGTTTTCTGACTGTAAGGCTGAGCATTCGATGTATGTGGCTGCTCCAATCTGTTTGGCCATATTTGCACCCTGAGGGGAAAAAAGGAACATGTGATCAATACAGAGTTGTGCAAAATCCCCAGCAATCCTCACCATTCCAGCTCTGCGCTGTTTCCCTGGAAAACACAAAGCTCCAACGGCTGATTTTGGAAAATAAATGGATTTAAACAAGTGTCCAAGCCTTATCTGCTGCGCTGATAAACCCAAATTGGGAGAGAAGAGCAGCTCAGTGACTGCAAATGAATAACTGCGAAAAGCTGAAGTGTCTGAGCGAGGCCTTTCCAGCAGTTTCACCCTGACTTGAACCTGGGAATTTCCTGGAAAATGTGGCAGCTTCCAGCCTGAAATCTCCAAAGAGAAATTCTGTGCCTAAAGGAACAAGCAGCTGGAGCAGAGTCCCTGTTACAGCTCCAGGAAGAGGGCAAAGTTCTTAGGGAAATGAAAAAAAAGGGAAAAAAGAGCATTTGGGGGTTATAGGAGCTCTTCTTTTGTGATTTTAAGAAGTCAAAGCAGGGATATTTGTTCCTGCAGCACAAAGCAAACAGCCCAACATGTGACAGATGACAATAGCCCAGTGTCCCGTGGTGGATTTTGCTCCTGGAACACAATGCAGCATTATGTGCAGAAAGGGGAGCTGTTCCAAGGGAATTTTGATTTCTGAGGGATGAATCTTGACAAAGTTACGAAATCCAGCCACACATCCTTGATGTGCCACTCCTCCCACACCCCGTGCCTGCCTCCAGCCCCTCCTGGGCACCAGCTCCTGTTTGCCCTGCAGTGATGCAGCAATGGGGAGAGGCTGATAAGGCAGCAGGAGCTCCTGAGAGCTCTCCCCACAGCTCAACATCTCAGCCCTGCTGAGCTGAGCCTCAGCAGTGTTTGCTCATCAACTGGGAGGCTGCAGCTCGGGGTCTCCAGCCTGTCCTGGCCCTTCCTGCTGGAGCTCAGAGCAATGGGAAAGCTCTGATTCCATCTCCTGCTCCTCAAGAGTACAGGCTGAGCTGTGAATCCAGGGAGAAAAATATAAATTTTTTTAAAAAAAAATCCACCTGCCAGAAGATTTTTGGTCACTCTCATGGGAGAAGACTCAATTTTACTCAAGTCCTGCCATTTTCCAAAATGCTGCACCCTTAGTAACCACCCCCCCCCCCACATCAGGAGCTGCTGGTTTGGAAAAGCTGAGGATAAAGCACCCCAAAGTGACTGCTGAGGACACTGAGGTGAGGTGGAGGTGCCACTGTCCCTGCCACAGGGTGGATCTGCCACCAGCAGCGTGATTCAGCTGCCACGAATGATCACACACATGTGAGTAATAAAGGCAAGCTTCCCTGCTCCCCACATCCTGCTCTCTCCCATGACCTGATTCCTTTCCCTTTCTCTCTCTCCTGCCTCCGAGCTTCTCCCTTCCCCAGGAGCAAAGAACTCATCAAGAACTCAGATGCCTTCTGGCTTTGCTGCACCTTCAGAAGGAGGGATGAGGTGTTTTCTTAAGGCATTGGGGACAGGTGATATTCCAATATAATGTCAGGATTCTAAAGTCAAACAACATTCAAATCTGAAGTCTGCAGCCAGCAATTTTACCAATTTGTCAGTGAATAAACAGGATGTGCCACCTTTTAGCTACATTTTTGGTGTGTGCAGGCACCGAAAAGCAGGAAGTTTTTGAACAACTCACCTAAAAAAAAGCAATTTGCAAGCAAAAAGACGACAATTTATGATGTTTAAAGGGATGATCTTATGATGTGTTGTGGGGCTGCAGGATTTCCTTTAGTCCTAAATCATTTTCAAACCCACCTCCACCCACACCACAGGTGCCAATCTGCCTTTCAGGCCAGGCTGGTGTCACCAGGAGGGAGAAGCTGGTCACAGTGAGGGCTCCAGGGACAGAGAAAAAGGGGTTTTTCTTCCCTCCTGAAGGACAAAAGAGGAGCTGGCCCCTACCTGGTCGTAGGACACGGGGGTCTGCCTGTGGTTGGAGAGCTCCACCAGCGTGCTGACATCGGTGCGCAGGTCCGACTTGCAGCCCACCAGAAGCATCTTGGTGTTGGGGCAGAACTCCTGGATCTCCCCTTTCCACTGGAAAATTGGGAAGTTGTTCATGTTTAAATCCAAAGAAGCAAGGGGTACAAGTTGCATCAGTCCTGACGTCCCACGCTGAAGCGTTTTTATGTAATGGCTGGGTTTGCCCTCAAGGTAATTTTCTGGAAGGCACTCCAGCAGAACTTGGTCAAGGATGAAATCTTCCTATCTCACACACTCATGAATTCCACTGGCTTACTAATCAGGAGGGAATGAGTTGAGATTGTTTACCCACATGAGCAAAGGTTTGCAGAGCTGCTGTTTCTCACACCCAGCCCCAGCCAGGTGCAGGGATGGTGTCCCCACCTCCAGAGGCAGCTCTGGTACAACCACAACAACACCAGCAGGGCTAAATGTGGGCTCACTGCTGCCTTCTCACACCTGAAACTACACAAATCTGTCCCAGGGGAGCCAGCAACGAGCCCTTCACGCTGAACTTGGGATAAATTCATTGGGTTCCACCCAAGGTGAAACAAGGTTATGTTGAGAACTCAAAGCCAAAAATTTCACAGCATAATCCACACAGATGATACTCCCTAAAACTGAAGGCTGTAATTAGGGTTTAAAAGCATACTACCAAAAATCTCTTGTAGAATTAAGTAACCAGCACAAGCAGGGACAGAAAAACCACAGTTCTGGCTGCTTTCTGACACAGAGGGAGTAGTTTTGAAGTATTTTTTGTAGGCTATTCAGAGCATTGTAAGGCATTTTATCCCAGTGAGACAAGAATCACTGGCCCCAGCCTCAGGAAAAATGAAAAGGAACTTCAGGTCACTAAGCCCCAAAACCACTGTGAAGTTGTGTCATGCTCAGCAGCCAAGGAGGGGACCAAGACCACCCTGCAAACAGAACTTGATTATGAAAATTCCGTGTCTGAGCTCATGGGAAGTCTGACACAAGCTCGGATCAGTGATCTCATGAAGGGTTTGGGGCAGGGCTGCATTTCTGTGCCACTGCAAGCTCTGCTGGTGCCTTCCAGAGGCATTTGTCACTGGCTCACAAATTATGTAAGGCTGTGGCAGAAGTCCAAACACTTGGCAGGAAAATTTTTAGCCATCCCTACAACCCAGCAAAGTTTCCCAATCCTGTTACAGGAACATGTGAGAGACAATTTCTTACAGCACCTCACACCACCCTCACAGCAAGGACACAATTCCTTGCTGTCTCAGGGCTGAGGAATGAGAATTTCCCTTCAGCTCCAAGTGTCCATTAGCAAGTTTTTGTTTCCAATTAATATCCAGCCCTTTTCAAACAAATGACCTCAAATTAAAGCACCCTCCTGTCACCGCTCCATTAAAAAAAAAAACAAAGTGGAAGTTTCCAGTGTAGGAACAGCACCACTGCAGGGATTTAAAGATGAGCAAAGTGCTCAGGGCTCAAACCTTGCTCAAACTTGCCTTTTTTAGGACACTATCCAGGGTTTCTGGCCGACTGATGTCAAAGCAGATCAGGACAGCATCCGAGTCCGGGTAGGAGAGCGGGCGGACGTTGTCGTAATAAGGAGACCCTGCAGGGAAAACAAACAACATCTTCATTAATTGCTGTTTTCCTCTTCCTGCAGTCATTCAGGAAGCCTGGAGAGGCTTCCAGGGATGCCCCCACAGTGATCCATCACCCACCAAAAGCTGGGGATGCTCCCAAAGAGAGGGAAACGGGGCCAGCCCAAGTTTAAGGCCCAGCATTTACCTGCAGGAGGAACAAATCCTTGGAACTCCAAAAAGGCTTTTTTTCCTAAAGCAGCTTTGAAATGCCTCAGTTTTGATTTGCCTAACAGTTAATTTAAAACAAATAGCTCCAAGTGCAAATAGCATCTTTAGCTGTCACATTGGCAATGTTTAGATGAAACTCTTGCTTCAAATTAAAGAACTTGTTGCAGGAAACAGATTTCCAGCAGGGAAAAATCCCAATCCTGTAGGCAGGCACGCAAGTTATCTGTCACAAAAAGCCTCATTAATCTGTAAACCAATAAAGCTTGCAATAAATGTTTATGTTTAGCCCATAAACCAGATTTTTATCAACAAGATCAAAGCTAATTTAGTAATCTGGGGGAACAGATGTAGGTACAGTACTTTGTGCTTGTTTTACTTGCAGGCCTTTGAAGGGATTTTCTGCTTTCCTTAACAACAATCATCATGTGAAGAGTTAAAAATCACATTTTAATCATCTGGTGAATTTGGCGACATGCTGGGAGGGAAAAAAAGCCAGAAAAAAAAGCTTAGTTTTTTCTAAGAAGTTGCAATCACTCAATCACCATTAGGTTTGGCCTTAACTGTGCTGAGCTTCACTTCCTGAGGAAAATACATTTCTTAATGTATTTAAAAGGGCATTTAAACCAGTTTAGTGGCCAAGCAGGGCAAGGGCCTGGGCTTGGGCAACTGAAAGTTCATTTTCTCAGCCATCACACATCCTTATTTTCCTTTTAGAAATCCTAAAATCCAGCAGACCCCAAAACACAGCATGGAGCACCCACCACAAGAACCCAATTTCCAGGAGTTTGGGGAGGGGGTTATCAGCTCATTATCCCAGCAATTTCCCAGCTCTCCAGAACTAATTGGCTGGAAGGTCTCTGATTATTAACGGGATTAGAGGAATTCCTGCAGTTTTTCCCTGACAGACAGCTCAGGCTGTCGCACAAGGCGAGCTGGGAATGGTGTGAAGGGCTCGCAGATGACTTCACTCGGGGAAGGAGGCAAGAATCCCAGGAATGTTGTTTTTGAAATGAGGAATAACACATGGGGAGTGAAGCATTACCAAAGTAGGTAGCAGAAGGTAATTTGGTGAACGAGAAGGATTTAATTTGAACGCTCATGTCTGTAAATGATGTCAATCTGACAGAGGCAGCTGTCAGCAAAGGCTCTTCACACCCCACTTCAGCTGAATTCAGCACAAATGACACAAACCTCAGCGAGGTGACCTGGACTCAACCACTCAGTGCAGCTATCAATAAGCGTTTTTCCCTGCTAATTGCACCCCACTATCTCCAGCACTGCTATTACAGCTCTGTCCTGCAGCCCCAGGGCTGGGTTATTTATCCTGCAGCCCCAGGGCTGGGTTATTGCTCCTGGACAGAGGAACTGCAGCACCAAGTGCCACCAAGAGCCACCCAGGTGACACAAAAACCACATCTCCATGAGCTCCAGCAAGCAAGAAGAGCAGGACTGAAGGAATCCTTAATGCTTTCTGGCTAGAAAGGAGTCTCAGCAAAGCCTCACCCAGAAACTCATTCCTCACACAAATACCTATGGGCTCACTCAGCAGCTCCAGGGATCCCATATATGTCCAGGAGATGTATTTATGTACACATTGAGTCCCCACCTCCAGCCCCGAGACTCCTTCCCAGCCCAGCAGCTGGAGCTACTTTGCTTGGAAGTTTTTTCTTTCCCCCCCAACTCTGAATTTCTCCTATTTCAGGCACTGAGCTGGAATAAAAGCACTTGTAGCAAGCTCAGGAGGGATATTCCCCAGCTTTTCTCCAAGCTGGTGTGTGGCAGAACAAACAGAGCCCATTTCAACTCCTCGAGCTGCAGGATCCACAAAGGAAATTTCCTGCTCTCATTTATAACCAAACCTTTATTCCTGTGCAAATAAATAGGGGCTGCAGCCCTCGCTGTGCAGGCCTATTCAAGCTGGCATTTTCATCCCTTTGCCAGAGAAACCCTCAGAAGGCAGGAATGTCAGGAATGAGGCTCGCTCAAGTCTCAACAGACAACTCCAGGCTGCTGCTCCCTCTTTTTTCATGTTCCTTTGCGGATTTGAAGCCGTGCCAACCCTCGAAAACAGAAGGAGAATGTGGAACTGGAGCCATGGTATTTGTGGGGAGAAAAAAAAAATAGCAAAAAAAAAAGCCTATTTGTGTTTGGGATTCTGTTCCTGCAAAATAAAACATTTTTGGCTAGGACAACATGGGTGGTTTTTCAGCTTTATCTAGGAGTTGCTGATAAGGCTGTAGCTCATTTTCCTTCGTGCTGGACATTTATTCCAGCTGCAATCCTCCTTTTTCTTTTTTTTTAAAAATTTGTTTGGCAGCTTCAATAATTTCAGCCAAAAATACTTGCAACATTAAGGATGATCTGCTTTTGAAACCTTATGTTTCACGCAGAGTCCAACAGAAATTCAGCTTTTAGACTGAAATAAAAACCCACCCCAGCAATATGGCTGGGTTTGGCCTACAGGGGATGCCAAGCTTAGGTTTAAATATTGCTAACTTAATAAAGAACGGAATTACATCATTAAAAACTGAAGAAAATTTAATTTTTTGGGTGGTTTAGCACTACTTGAAGGCGCTGGATCAGGGAGAGGTGTTTGGCTGGAAGATCCAAAGGCACCAGGAGGGTTCAGCTCCACATCCTGAGGCCAGGAGGGCTCAGTAACAGGCAAGACTTTCCTATTTCCACACCAGCAAGCAGCCACCAGGAATTAGGCTTTGGAACCTTTTGGAGCCCAGTCAAGTGAAAGAACAACAGATGAACAGCAGCATTCTCACTCCCAAACCCTTGGGCTCACTAATTATCACAGAAAACACAGCAAACACTGCCTGCTCCAAGGAGCCGATTCAGTGCTGATGGTTTTCCTCCTTCCAAAAGGGGAAAAAAAAATAAAAATAAAAAAAACCCCTGGGATGGCTGACAGAAATATCAAAATATTCCCAGCTTTTTGTGTGATCACACCTCCAAGGAAAAACTTTGGGAGGGCACTTGGCATTCCCAGGTATCAATTCTAATTAATTCCCTTGTAAAAGTAATAAGAAAACGCTGTGAAGATTGTCATTTAAAACCAGAAAGTCACAGAATTCCAAGCTGCAAGAGAACCAGGAGGCAAAGACAGCAATCAGACTTTTTCTTCACAATCCTTACTGCCAGGGAATTTGGGGAATTAACAACTTGAATTCCCCCAAGTTTCAGCTTTCTCCTGGAAGTTTTCAGCACTAAACTTTCCAATTGATTTCTGTTTCTATATGGACACTGAGTACATTGTATAGAGTCAAAAATTAAGGCAAAACTAACTTGACTCCCAGCTCCAAGGCCCTTCTGGATTTAATTACTTGCTAATCCCCACCAGTTGTAAGTATTTCTGGCCCTGCTGAGAATTATTTTATTGGAGTAGCCACGGTTCAAGCAATGAAGAAACCCCCTAAAACACATTTTAGGGAAACACAGGTATGTGCACCTAATTAATGGTATTTCTAATCCACAGCTGCTGCTGTCCTAACAAGAAATATAAATATCAAAGGAGCCAAAAAACTTGATAAATGCAGATTAGATGGTAGATAAAGGCAACTAATACTGATTTTTTCCCTTTGCAGTGGCCTTGAAAGTCCAAGACGAAGCTTTAACCTGGAGAAACTTTTAATATTCCGCCTCACACAACACGCAGAGTTCCCAAACAGCTCAAGACTGCCACATGTAACCACAGAGCAGAGTAATTTATGGTGTAGTGAGATTGCAACCAGCCATTCCTGCTTTGAGAGAGGGCTGCTAGTCCCAAACCCCATTGAAATTCAACTTGGCAAGTGCTTCCCTTAATGCTGTGGCTAATTTAAATCCTTCTAATGACTTGCAGAACTAGACAGCACCAGCAAACATTTGAATAATGAATCTCCCCGTTCCATTCCACTCTTACTTGTCCCATATTCCTGTGGGCAAATCCAAGATGCAACAACAACTCCCCGATGAATTTAAAATTTTAAATTCAATTTTAAACTGATTTAAAATCAGTTGCACGACACCTGAAAGTTCTCGAATAAAAACATGTTATTATTGTTGGCATATAAAGAATTATAAACCAAAACTGTGGCAGCAGGGCCTCTTCTCACCCTAACACAACTATTTTAACCAATGCCCACAGCTCTTCTGATTTTCCCAGTGAGAAAAAAAGAAGAAAAAAAAAAGAGTTGGAAGTGGCAATACATCCTTCCAAAGGATTCGCTGCAAAACCCAATTATCAATTTTAATTCAAGGGGTTAATTGGCAAGGCTGTTAAATGCTCCCAGCTAAAAAAGAGTTAAAGAGGAAGATAAAATACTGCTTGAGTAATCTTGGAAGTATCTGCAGCATATAGCAATAAACTCAATTAAAGAGCATCTTTTCCCCCCTCCCAAGACATTCAAGCACCACAAAAAGTGCAGCCACCACCTCCCCCGTGTTGCAATGATCAGTCATCTTTTTAAGTTAATTAGATTTAGTCCTACTTTCAAAATGCCATTCAGACATCTCTTCTAACTCAGTAGAGGACCAGGACAAAGACTTGTAAAAATTAAATTACCAAGACTTTCAGATAAGGCTAAAGCACTCCCTTATCTTCTGCTGTCTCTTATCTGCTGATGTGATTTTGTTCTGGGTTAATGGGCTTGGGCAGTGCTGGTTTTTTTGCAGTGGGTGAGAAGGGATGTTCATGGAGCCAAAATTCCTCATCCAGATTCCCAAAGCCAAAGGATCCACTCAGTAACACTGTGTAAAAGCAAGCACTGGATCTTTCAAATACTTCCTCTTCAGTTTGGGATGTCAGACAAATCACCCACTTGATCTCAAGCTTGTGACTCAACCACATTTTCTCTGAGTTCCAGGACAAAGGCTGGCAGGTGTTTTTTCTTCCACTGCTTTTGTCTTTTGAAGTGCTAGGGAATATTTCACTCCATGGGTGTCTCCAGCCTTTGACAAACAGATTCCAAACCTTCCCCATGTCCAGACCGCGTGTGTGCTGTATTTTAATAAAGATAACATTTTCCAAAATAACTATTAATTTATAATAAGCCCTTGCTCCACAGTCCCAAGCCAGCTTAGTAATAATCAGCATGAAAGCTCCAACCAGACATACTCCAGAAATCTGCAAGTCTCACTTGGCATAAGATGAAGTAAAAAAAATCAGCTCAGAGCAAAGCTGATACTGGTTGTGGGCAGAGGCTGCCTTTTCCCAGTAATCGTGTTGCAAGAATTTGGAATCATTTCCTCAACAGCAAGAGGAAAGCCAACCCGCCGCCTAAACTCCTCTTTTAAATCGGGGATTAACATTTTCATTCCTGGTAAAAGAGCTGCTGTCGCACTGAGGAGAAACTGTCGGGTCCAAATTCGGCATTAACGAGCCATCTACACATAGAAAGAGAGGGACTGCGTGTTCTGCCAAGTTCCTGCAGGTTTTTTTTTCCCTTTTCAATCAGCTCTGCAGATGATGTTGATCCACACCTCTGGTAATGGTTCCTGGTGTCATTCCCCCCATGGAAATCCTCAGTTCTGCACGGGCAGAGCCACACTGGCTTCCCCATTCTCCTCTCCATCACTGAGGCAGCAATTTTGAGGTGCTCCCTCACCCCCCTGGCTGTAAGTGCAGCCCAATTATCCAAATTATCAACGACAGGCGGATCTAGAGGAGCTCCTGTCTCAACATGTGAGCAGAGCCAGCCAAACACCAAAGCCCTCAACCTTTGAGGCTGAGTCTGAGCCGGTTTCTTCCAGGTAAAACTGGAAGGATGAAGACGACCTTCAGCCCTGATGGGGGAAAGGATGGTTCCCTCTGCACCCCAGAGAATCAGAGATAAATTCTAAAGGTTTTCCCTAAAAGCCGCTCCTGGCCTCAAAGACTCTCTAAAACACTGGGAAGAAAAGTGCTGTGTTTTGTTAAAAAACCGAAGAGGCGTTAAGGAGCTCTGGAATAATTCACCATCAGCACATGAACACCTTTTTCCCTCTCCTACAAGGCCACGGGAGCTCTGCAGGCGGCAGAGGAGCCCAGGTGCCCCCGGAGCTCCTCACAAAGCTCCTTCCAGCCAGGCAGGTGAGAACGCATTCCCCTGCAATGCTGACAAACCGCTTCCCGGAGCCTTGCCCACACCCTCAGCCAAGGAGATCCTTCAAGGATAGCCGAGATTTTTGTCAGAAAGCCTTCAGAAGCAGCCGCATGCGGAGCCCGGCCAGGCTGAATCCTCCCGATTCCCACCCCCCGAATTCCCGGGATGCGAACGGGAGCGCTCACCCGAGGTGTCCCAGAGGCTGAGCTCGATGCGCTGCGTGTCGATCTCGAAGCTGGCCGTGTAGTTCTCGAACACGGTGGGGACGTAGCTCTGCCGGGAGACACGGCACGGTCAGCCCGAGCCCATCGCCGCCCCCCCGGCCGCGACCCCCGGGCCGAGCCCGCTCCCATCCCCTCACCTCGGGGAAGCAGTCCTTGGCAAAGACGTGGAGCAG